TCTGAAAAAATGAAAAAGTTTGTAGCTGAAAAATTAATAAATGGATAATTGATAAATCGTGTCAAACAAATTCAAAGACATGCACAGTTCAAATCTTAATTGTTGGAGTATTCAACAAATGTCAATTTTCAATGTGTTATGTTCATCAGCAATGTTCAAAATGAAACGTTGAAAAGCGTGAAAAATGAATCCAAGGTCAATATTTAACGCGAGTCAATATTCTACGTTACACTGCGACGCATTTGTTGAATAGGGCTGCGCAATCATACCGATATACCGGTATATTGCGATTCGTTGACAAACTAGAGTGTTCCGAGGAACACGTGTGTCGTCTGCTTTTCAGTTTCCGAAAAGATGTAAATAAATCTAAGAGTGGTCAGGTTTTTTTTTTTACTATAATTAGCATGATAGCTCATGCATTTGCCTGCAAGGAAAAATGGCATCCATGGATAGTATCTGACGATCATAGAAAATATGGTTCCCTAACCCTCAAATGATTAATTAAATTTAAGTTATTAGAAATAACTACTAGTATTTATCATTTATTTATACTGTTTCCAATAATCCTCCAAATGAGATTTCAGTCTGTCTTTACAGCAATTGTTATATGAAATACTGATCCCGATGTTTTTTCATAATATTTAAATATAGTTTGTGTGGTAACTGAATATCATACAGTCTTAAAGTACAGAAGCGTGATCTCAATAGGTATAATCATGTATTAATGTTAATGATCAAAATCTTAAAAATTAAAAAGTTCATAAGTTTAATTAAACTTCCCACGGTATTTTTTGCAAAGTGGATTGCAATGCTGGTATTTTTCATAATATCTTATGACAAACAGTGCACATGCTTACCTCTTAAAAGTTAGAAATATCCTGTTTATCGGCACCATGAACTATGTTTGAAAAGTAGGTCAAATGTCAAGGTCACTAGGTCAGTAACCATGGTAATTTACAAAAGCCATTATGCCAAGCTATATATTTGCAAAATATCAAATCCATACCTCTTACAGTTCTCGGGATATATGGGGTAACAGACGGACAGACACACAGACCTCGGGTGGAGTGATCCCTAAGTTCCGCTCTGCTCTGTAGGTGACACAAAAATGTCGTATTGCAAAAAAAAAATTGTGATTTTTTTTTAAGACCGATATACCGCAAAAATACTTTTGATTTCTTAAAAAAAGTTTTGAAATTTACGATGTCAGAAACGTTTTCAATCGTGCCAAACGTAAGGCTGCTGTTGTATGGTTGCATTTCGTAGCAAAATTATATAGTCAAATCAACAAGAACGTTTTTGTTACAATGTATTTATAATAGCTTCATACGCTCTGCTTATAAATGGCATTTTAACTGTTTTTAAAAATGTTTCAATACATATTGCAATAAATTAAAAAATCGCAATTAAATTAAATTCAAAATTCCCAACCAATACCTAGCCCTATTGTTGAATTATCACATCACCCGTACTAACCGAACACGTTATGTGTTTATCTGGTGATTATTTTGACGGCTAATCTGATACTCTTACGGCTATACTGAAACGCAAAAGAAACGCAACATCCTATTTTAGGGGGAAATATTATATACAGGATATAACTGTACCAAATAAAGTAAAGACATCTTCAACTTCGAGTTTTACCTTACTGTATTCATTTTTGAAAATCGTTAGATAAAAAATTCAAATATTTGTAGTTTACTGGTTGTTGCGTTTCTTTAGTGTGTCAGTTTATATAGGATACCTCATTTAGAATAAGAACAGAAACGCTTTGACGTCTGCTTCGTGATAGGGAGGCCTGACTATGTTAACGTCTTACGTTTGATGCAGCATAGCGAACGATAATCGAACCCGGGCCTCCTGATCATCAATCAAAGACCCTGCCACTAGGCCATCATTGAAGTCGTTGCCATATTCTGAGTAAGGTTCGCTCTTCTTTATTCAAGTCAAAATGCTTTAATTTTTATTCAAATCAGGTCTGCTGCAGGGCAACGGCATTGTATAGACTGCATTGTGTTTGAGAAACTTTTTTGCCTTTTTGAGCTATGGCATGGTGCTAAATTATAAAAATTAATCGTTTTCTGGGAAATATTAAACAAACACACTTTCAGTATCTACTGAGGAAGACAAATAGTCTCTCAAATGTAATGCAGTTTCCACACTGCTGCCAGGAAACAGCCCCATTGAAACTCATTTAAAAACTTTTAGGGGCGAAAAAAGACCTTTGGTCAAAACCTACCAACGGCTTGCAGATATACATGTGGAAAGCAATCAAAAGAGGTACTCGCTTCTAAACCTTTCTGTATAAACATAATACATAGCAAACATAGGGGTTAACGATGGTCTTGGTGCAAAAGGGGAGCAGTTAAATTCTAGAAAGGAATAAGATATTGTAATAAAATAGCAAAATTTATCATATACTTTGTGTCTTTAATAGCAAGAGATTTCTTTCCAAACGTGCATATAAATTGTTCAGTAAAGAGTGTACGGTTATAAAGTTTTGAGCTGTGTATTACAGTAATTGCTTTGGAAAAAAATCTTTAGCGATTTTAAAAACTTGTTTTGGTATGCAAGATGACAGAACACATTAAGTCCACAGGGATTGGTCCAAGGGAGGGTTTTAAATAATAATATATTTCTTCTTTAGAAGGTTTCCTTTAAGAATCGGGATCGGTTTAAAAATATTGAAAATTTTGTAGGGGACCTATCAGAAATACTCTTTCTACATTCAATACGTAAATAGACGTACTGTGCTACAAAATACTCGAGCAAATATGGATTCTCAGCAATTCCATAGAATTTATGAAATTTAAAATTACAAATCTTTGCAACATCAACAGCATCAAAATACATACCTTTTCAACACCTTATACAACCATTCTTCATGTAAAATTACAGATCGGCTTTTTGAGATTATAGACAACTATTTTCTTCCTTACAAATAGAAATTTTCACACCATTTAATTTTCATCTACAAAATTACTTTGTTAAAAATTATTCTGATTCTACATAGTACCCTGAAGGTGGTGTTTAAAAGATGCTCGAGCTCCTCATTGACAATATCTATACAGTCTTTGAAGACTAGGCATTCTAAACATATTTGAATTCCCATATGCACACATAGAAGTTAATGGCGTCCTGACAACTAAACTATATGACTCCAGCTTTTCCAACGTAAACTTTCTTGATAGGCATTATCAGCTGCAAATGTTCTATATATATCTCCAAGCTGATTCGGTAAGCGAGAGCATCGGTAAGCGAGAGCATTGATGTGTGTGATTAATTTTTTAATCGAGGAAGCTAATGACATACAAGTTGATGTCAAAGGGGTTTCAACCATCGCATCATAAGTAAAAATTTTGCACATTCTATAATTTTATTACTTAATAACGTGTACAAAAACAACCTACTGTTTGGTACTTGATTTGACATCTTTCATGCCATTTATTACACCATCGTTTCCTAGCTAAATTGACCTAACCAGAAGGGGGAAGCTTACTCCTCGTAGGCACTTGATCCCACACCTGGTATTTCCGGGGGGTCCGCAGTTTTGCTTTTTTCTCGATTTGTATTGTTTACACGTATATTAATTATGAGGTTGATATCTTTTTTATATATATAAACTTAAAATTTTTTAAGAAATTTGGATTAGTAAAGATTTTTAGCGTCTCTAAATTTTGTAGGATCGGTTGTAAAAAAAAAAAAATAAATAATAAAGTATCTTTTTATTTAAGGGAGGGGGGGGGGCTTATTTTTTTCCTTATTGTTTCTATTTGAACTTTTTCATTTGGAGTACATTTTGAAGAATAGATTTATAATTAAGCCAGAAGTAATATTTCATGTATGCATGATAAGGCTTAACTTCAAAATTGCTAGAACACAGCTGTGATTTAAAGAAAATGTAAATAGTATGTATATGTACACATTTTATTACGTTTACAATGTTGACATTTTGTTACTCATTTAAATTCAACATTAATCATCCTCTCTCTCTCTCTCTCTCTCTCTCGTTTTTGCTTCTAACTTTCATACGTCCAAGTTATCTGGACCCTATTATGAGAAAGGGTGTCATTTCAGATCTGATTGAGTTGCTTTTCTCTGTCGTCAGAGGACGTTGTCGTATTTTTAAGAAATCTCGGATCTTTTTATTTATTGATATTCTTCATTATTATGTCCTTAAGTTTCTAATCACTTTTAGTCAGTAAAAGTCATTAACACATGAATTATAATTAAGACACGTGTTATGATTATGTTCATGCCTTCATTTCTGCCTAAATCTGATATCAATGCGACATAAATAATTCGACATTAATCAATCATCGTTAATTGGTAGGTCGCCCCTCCTTTCATTTAATGTTATATTTCTATTAGAATATTAGAAATTTATTGATAGGAATTTGTTAGATCCAGACTTAGTCACATAGAAGCGAAGTGTACATTATAACATGCATATGTTACATGTACAAGTCTAAGGCATTCTAGAACTGTTTTATGATTTACTTTTCTACTGTTTTGCTTTTTTTAACAATGTATTTCGCAGACTTTTTTGATAATGAGCACTTTTATTATCATTTGGTGTAATCATATGTCACCATAAATGTCAGCAGTTGTCCCTGGGGAGTGATTATTATTACTGCCTATTCATTTATTACTATCAATTAATTAAAGACACAAGTGAATTCAGGTTGACAAGGATTCATGTGAAATTTACATTTAATTAAACTGTTAAATTATTTTTAAAAACTTGCTTAATTTAACCTAGGGTTAAAAGTGTTTATAAAAATAATTTAATTTAAAAAAAAAAAGAAAGAAAGTCATACATGTATAGTGTGCTAAGTTTTTGCAATGAATCTTTAGTTCGATAATTACATGTACATATAGTTCTTTATTCAAAAGTGAAAAGTTTTATAAATTAATTGCCATTTACATTTTGGGGTTTGGTTGAGCTATCTAAATAGAGTTTACTTTAGAAAGTAATTGAAATAATTGTTAAAACCTACCTGGGCTGTGAGAACGAGGTCCAAATGGTTGTCAAGATCAACAAAAGGAAGGTCAGTTGGTTCCTCCACATACTGAAAAAAAGAATACAACCTAACGGCTCCCAGCTTTCATATCTAGTCCCCGGCCCTCATTATCATGCTAATCCTTCAACTATCAATACTTTATGTCAATTCAGTTTTGTTAACATGATTTGCAAACTGCAACACCAATCACATGGCAGAATTCTGTCACGTGACTAAACCGAGAGATATTTTTTTCATTCATTTTATGATTTATAAACAAGTAATTAAATTAATGTCGTATCAGAATACTGAATAGCAGGAGTAAGCTGCAATAAATTCAAATTAAACAAGTTGTTGATTTATGAGTGGAACTGCAAATAAGTGGTTAGGTTCTTTAGACTTACGATTCTGTCATGTCTTCTGATGTGCAATTTATATGCAAATAAAGGCGGAAATATGGAGATTTTGTTTTTGCTTCTTTGAAATGGTTTTTTTTTTCAAGCTCTTACCTGATCAGTCTAGTATTCTATTCTATGTCTAATTTTTAATATAAGTTTAATAAATTTTGGTATAACTGAAAGTGTACTCTAAGTATTTGATGGCCACTAATCATGCTCCTTGATTAACCGACCTCTTTTTATATTCTTATGAAGCAGAATTTATTCAAAACTTCTACATGAGAAGAAAACTCTTGCTGTACGTGGCTTTCAATTCAACATTTCGGTAAATCGACGAAGTTTTATCAATATACAGTACTGTATTTATTTTCATTCAATATCCCAGTGAACTAGAAATAAAGGAACCACGGTGTCTGCCACGTCTGCTTCAAAGTTGGATGTTTAACTGACTGTAGACGTTAATGGCCAACTAACAACTTACTATACGACAAACGGAATGACTTCAGCTTTTCCATAGTCAACTTTCCCTTTTTATATAGTAACCTTCCACAATTCATGCATATGGATTTTATGTCTCCTAACTGATTCGGTACTTAATTAAGAGCATTTTCCGAGTACGATTAATTCAAGTAGCGGAAAGCTACTGACAAATAACTTGTTACAGAGTTTCTACGTATTCCGACTGAGTCTGGATTTTGCAGATTTTGTGGTCGTTATAATGACCTCGTTTGCAATTCTTTATATATATATATATATATATATATATATATATATATATATATATATATCACAGAAATTCACTTTTATAAGGATACCCACTTCCGCCCCAGCCTGGGGTTGAACTCTCGACCTACGGAATCTGTCTCCTAGCAGTACAGGAACAGCGCGCTAGACCGCTCGGCTATCTAGGCAAGTCAAAAAACTTGCTTTCGATGCTTTCACGGTCATTGAGAATGTACTTCACTTCCATTCTCAATGACCGTGTAGTGTAGAACAGCGCCGCGAGAATTCCATAGGCATCGAAAGCAAGTTTTTTGACTTGCTGTTCCTATACTGCTAGGAGACAGATTCCGTAGGTCGAGAGTTCAACCCCGGGCTGGGGTGGAAGTGGGTATCCTTATAAAAGTGAATTTCTTTGTGCTTTCTGTATTAATATTTCTTCACTTAGGGCAGTTATGTTAGTTTAAGAGTTGTTGTAAAATGTGCTATATATATATATATATATATATATATATATATATATATATATATATATATATATATATATATATATATATATATATATATATATATACTTGAAAAAGATAGTAGAGTATATTGTGTATAAACGGGCATGTGAGGCCATTGTTGTTGTTTTTTACCATTCTGACAACAGATTACCCCGATACAATCGAGGGCTCACGGCGATTGGAACCCGTCCACAGGGGATTCCTAGTTCCCCTAAGCACCTGATCCAAACTCTTGTGTTTCTATAGGTCTGTCTTTTTCCCCTGTTCGTATTCTGTACTTGATTTCTGAGACTGATCAGTTCGTTATCTTAGCCTTTTACACATTGACATTAGTTTGCTGGGAATGCTTCAGTTTTTAAAGGAATGTATTTCACATTGTTTTTCCACAATTTTTTATCAATATATGAAATACGTTGTTCAAATGTTCCTCACTTTAGTTAGTTATTTTTCTTTTCTTTTATCAATGCAAATGGTTTACAGATTCACTTGAAAAAGATAGTAGCGTATATTGTGTAATTGGCAGAATTTTACCACGGTATAATAGGAAATCAGTTATCACATTGCCAAAGGTACATATTAAAGACTTATTGTTTGGTGTTTTTTCAAAAAGCTTGTGCTGAAAATTCATACAGTCCTTTTCACTGAATTATTCTGTAAACAAGTAATAAATGCTGAATGTACCGATCGACTTTTAAATATACTCATTATGAGAAGCTCGTTATTTAATTTTGAAATGTCTGCACGATGGTGGCTCTCTGTACTACGCTGTTCTATAAGTACACTCATGCTTTAAGGATCATCATCATTATCGTAATTTTCCTACTCCATTAAAGTAAAATAAATGACACGTGTCTACGTCTCTAGATCTGTACTTGATAATTAGAAAATCTCTGTTTTCCATTATTAACAGGCAAAATGAAGGCATTAATTTTGCTATGAAATCATTAAGTATGAAAGCGCACCAATGTCTGTGTATGCACACATTTTCTTTGTTTACAATTCTCTGATATTATGTTCTTTTCGGTTGTAAATTATCTAAAACAATGCTTTGACAAATTGATGCCGACATCTTTAGATCACGTGACAAAGTCTGCTTCGTTCCTGTTTGTGGATATAGAAATGTGGCCAATGTGGGGAAAACCACAGGTACGAGGTATCATTAAGACACCACGGTGCGTGTTTTTTAAGAGAAGTTAAATAGTTTCCGTCAAGTACGGTACATGTAGTTAACATAAAAGCCACTTTTCCTACTAGTAATAGGCACAGAAGACCCTCCATGATGTAAAAATACACATGGATTGCTCCAAATGGTATAAAATACCGGAATATGAAGAAATCACTTATAGCGAGGTTTCGTTCTTATGTTCAACAAGCTCTACATACTTTGTCTCTTAAAATCTTCTTTAAGAGTATGGTAGGTCTTTAGAGGCCTAATTAAGTTCTTATTTGCTAGATTGATATATATCATAGAAAGAAAAGGGAGCAAATGATTTTAGGAAAACAAATTGTTACAAACTGACTATTGTTACAACTTTAAAAATTCATTTATTTAATAACGGCTTGGACGAACTGTTAAGTTAGATATTGGGCTTATTTGCCAGTTTTAGAACATACTCACAATCCATTTTTAAGTCAAAGTAAAACTTTTAGATCATAAGCATCATAAGGGGTGCTTCAACTGAGTCATTCTGCAAAAAATATGGTCCATACTTAGTAGGTACATTACCATTGTGAAACTTAACGGGTAGATATATCAAACATGGGCAGGACCGCACCCCTCCCCATATTATATAAACACCAGCTTTTTTTCTGTAAGTTGGCCTTGTAGCTCATATTTACAATTTTCCCGAATGTAAAAAAAAAATCAGAAATCCGGGGAGAGGGGAGGGTCCCATCCACAAGCACCGTCGTATCGACCACACTCCGGATGTCAAAGAGAGACTACAGGTAAAAGAATATGTCGTTACGTGCATGTGTATCTTGAAAATGATCTTCGAAGAGCTACAGGGCGTTACACAATGAGAAATGGCCTTTATCATTAATATTTTAATTATAATTAAGAATGTTTATCGTTAATATCCCATCTGTGATATTCTGGGATCAGTTGGAATGAGGTTTTATGCAACACTTTATGAACACTGTATGGGAACACTCGGGTATATAGCAGTGCACATAATGATTATAATTCTACATTTTGTTGTGACAGGACAATTGTTTATTCTCGTAAAGTGTATCTGCAGTCCAGAAAAAATATTACAAAAACTGAGCAATAATGCATGCCCATGGGTAATAAAAAAAAGAAGAAAAAATGTATTCTTTTTTTTTTTTAAGACAATTTAGTATTTTTCAAACAAAAGTTTCCAAGTTCATTAAAATACAGTGAAAAATAAAACGGTGATGAATTTTCACCGCCCCCAAAGTACATAAAAACTTTTTTTTTGAGAAATCTCCATTAATAACTGCTTCTATAAGTGTGTATAAAGACATGTCAAGACATACTCCACAGAAGTACTCAGCTTCGCCCTACATCGTATTAACATTGTTAGCAATAATCTCACTGTAACGAGTTACAGAGGCGAGATCTTTGCTCTTTCGAATTCATGTTTCCAGTTTTTAAGAAAGCAAAAACGCAAGGCCACACTGAGCACATGGATTGGTTTGCCATTTGCTCGAATTAAACCCCTCTATAGCGTGTAGAGGAACAATTGACTACAAACATAAACGAGTTACATCACTGCAGATAGCTATAATAGATCAGTTTCAATGACCACGGAACAAACCCGACGATGTGTCAAAAACATGCAATAACAATATATACATTGTGTAGCCACGAACAAGATACAGTTGATTAAATCATCAAACTAAGCTGCAAAACTGTAGCTCGACGTCAGCTAAAAAATCGGAGAGGGAGAGGGCTACAATTTCAATGCATCTCTCTACTAGTTTAGTTGTTGCCGTAGTCACTAAAATGCTCTTGAGATGAATTTTACGTAGGAGCCGCATTATTTATGTTTAAATAAATTCTAATGACAATGAATAAGTTGTGTTTATTTTTTCAAAGGAAAAAAAACCAAGAGGTTTGTATTATTTCATTTTTTCCTGTAATCTCTTTCCATGTGCCTCCAATTTCAAGACGTGACGATATTGTGACGATATAAGCGCGGCATAAGACCACTGGATCATTTGTTCTAATGCGCGGGAAATTTAAACAATAAAATGCTTTCTTTGGTTTTAGCATGGGAATTAATGTTGCAGCTGTTGCAGAAAAAATACATAACCCACTTAAAAACGGGTTATGTAATTTTTTCTGTAGTAGCTGCAACGTTAATTCCTGTACTAACATTCAAAGAAAGAAATTGTTTATATTTATGTCTGTATAAATAGTTAAACTAGAATTAAGAACATTAAATATTGTATTATTGATATGTATGTCATTGAATGTTTCATTGATGGAAGAGC